TGCTGGTTTCACAGGTAGGCTGTGCTGCTTCGGGTCGGGTCATGATCCTGCTCTAGAGGAACTTTCACTGTGTTGGCTGACCGCTGCACATTTACATCCAGAGTTTGCTGTGCCACCTGCTGCTAGAGCAGAACATTCCCATCCCACTGATTAATGCATCTTTAATTGATATTTGTACACATCTAGAACTGGACAGAGGCAGTTTGTTCATGGACTGTTCCATACAAATATAAAACAACCTTCAGACAAAGATTAGATTTTATGTTCCAACAGGAATCCTGTCACATATATCCAGTGGTACATTTCCTGGGAGCTGCTGAGCTCTCACCATGATCATGGTGTTGCTGTTGTCTTGATAAGTTTGTCTCTTTGTCCTCTCCAGCTGAAGGAGGCCAGCAGTGTTGCTGTTCCCAGGACTTTCCTGGTGTCGGGAAAACAGAGGTCCTTGGAGCTGCAGGCCAGGTACGAACACACAGTGAGGTCCAAATCTCATTGGACTTCAGCTCAGCATTTTACACAGTCATCCCCTTCAAATTAACCACCAAACCTGGAGACCTGGATCAGCACCTCCCTCTGCAGCTGGATTCTGGACTTTCTGACCAACAGGCCTCAGCATGTTAGGTCACACAACACCTGCTCCTCCACCCTCATCTTCAACACTGGCAGACCACAGGGCTGTGTGCTGAGCCCATTCCTCTTCTCCCCTTTCACCCACAACTACAGGCTTGTACATGGCTCCAACACCATCATCAAGTTTGCAGACGACATCACGGTGATTGGCCTCATCAGCAACAACGACGAGTCAGCCTACAGGGAGGAGGTACAGCACCTGGCTGTGTGGTGTGCTGATAATAACCTGCTCCTTAATACCGACAAGACCAAGGAGCTCATTGTGGACTACAGGAGGGAGAAAGGAGGCACACATGACCACATCCATATTAACAGAATGTTTGTTGAACATGTCTCCAGCTTCAAATTCCTGGGGACCCACATCTCAGAGGATCTGTCCTTGACCACCAACACCCACAGCCTGGTTAAGAAGGCTCCCCAGTGCCTCTTCTTCCTGAGGACACTGAAGAAGAACCACCTGTCTTCAGCCATCCTGGTGAGCTTCTATCGCTGTGCCATCGAGAGCATCCTGATCAGTTGTATCACAGTTCTGGTATTGAAACTGCTCTGTCTCCGACTGCAAGGCGCTACAGCGGGTGGTGAAAACTGCCCAACGCATCAAAAGGACTCCACTTCCAGCCACTGATGGTGTCCACAGGGAACGCTGTCTCCGATGTGCTTGCAGCGTTCTCAAGGGCTCTTCTCACCCTGCTCACAAACTATTTGACCTCCTGTACTCTGGGAGGTGCTTCACCAAAACCAGTAGACCCAGGAACAGCTTCTTCCCCACAGCTGTCTCCTTAATGAACTCTGTTCCCCTTTGACTCCCCACTGCCTTCTTCTATACCACTACACACACCTCACCCCTTCTCATCTCTCCTCCTGGGACTAATGCAGTACACTTCTGTTACCTGTAACACTGAAGTGATCTGTTAATTTGCACATTCTCACAGAATACAGGTCTGTATTCATTTGCACACTGTTCATATCACATATCAATTGTACATATCAGTAAATTAGTTCTGACTGTACAGACTGTAGATACTGCACACTATTCACTGCTGTTATTGAACTTCTGGTTAGATGCTAAACTGCATTTCGTTGCCTTGGACATGGGTAATGACAATAAAGTTGAATTGAATCTGATCTAAATTGACAAGAGAGACGTTACATTTATACAACAGCACCTATTCAGTCACTTAAAGCCATAGTCATCACACACACTAGGATTAATGAGTCTCTCAGTTTGGTCCAGCAGTGAGGTGCATATCACTGGAAACCAGTCCTCCCCAAAGACAAGCAGCCATCTGACTGGTTTCCTGTTTGTTTGTGCTTCTGCAGGACGGAGGAGGAGAAGAAAGACTGGATCCAGGTAGATGCACAGTCTTCATCTCTGCACCTCAGAGACAGCCTCTTCATCTGTGTTTGCTGTGAAAATGGTTACACTTTTCATCTTGCTTCAGTGATGGACAGGTGTATTCTAGAACCCCATGACATCACTGGTGGGTGTGGTTACAGGTGTGCACTGACCATGTTCATCAGTGATTCTGGCTGTGTTCATGAGTGAAACACCTGGACTGAAGTCACTCTAGGCTCAGTGAAAACTGAGACTTTCTGGTCTAACACACAACAAAGCCTTTTACCTGGCCTTTATTTGTTATGCTATTATATGACCACTGCCTAATACTGGAGAACTGTAATATGCTGCTAAGTGTGTGTGTTTGTTCAGGCCATCCAGGCGACCATCCAGAGACATGAGCAGACGGTGGAGAGCTTCAGACATCTGAACTGTTCCCTACGAGATGATGAGTCCACACCACCACACTCCCCGGTAACAAACACAGCTGTAAACAGGTGCGATCAGCGTGTTGGAGTCCCAGTGGCGCACCAGGGTAACGTCTTTGTTCCTTTCACAGAGCTGTGTGGAGCTGGGGAAGCGAGCTCCCACTCCGATTAGAGAAAAGGAAGTCACTCTGTGTATGAAGTGTCAAGAGCCGTTCAACTCCATCACCAAGAGACGGCACCACTGTAAAGCCTGTGGACACGTAGGCTCTTTGTCTGCGCTTTGTAAGACATTCATATTGTCAGAAACATGCAGCCAGACTCACTGATCATCTGTCTGTCTGTGTTGAATCCAGGTGGTTTGTGGGAAATGTTCTGAGTTTCGTGCTCGTCTGTCTTATGACAACAACCGGACCAACCGTGTTTGTGTTGACTGCTACACCACGCTAGTGGGAGTGTCGCCCTCACCTGCCATGCTGACCAGCAGCAGCCAGAGGAGGCGCTCCATCCTGGAGGTTAGCGACATCACTGTGACATCACAGGATGTGCTGTAAAGCACTGTGTCACATCCCAATAAAAAAGGTTGAATGTTGCAAAAATGGATTCTCTCTTCCTATCTTGTTGCCATAGAAACAGGCCTCGCTGGCAGCAGAGAACAGTGTGATTTGTAGTTTTCTTCACCACATGGAGAAAGGAGGGGGGCGGGGCTGGCAGAAGGCTTGGTTCGTCATTCCTGAGAACGAGCCACTGGTGCTCTACATCTATGGAGCGCCACAGGTTTGTTGTTCACCGCCTGCAGGCTGCAGTGCTCATCACAGCCACAATATGGACAAAGGGCATCTGTCAGCACCCACCTGTAAAAGTCCTGTGCAGTACCTGATGTGGCTCCCAGGGTTCTGACTAAGTGACAGATGAAGCAGTCCAGAGGGGCTCTGAGGAGAGGTATGGAGACTGACCAGCTGTTTTTTCTTATTTCTCCACCAGGACGTAAAGGCGCAGCGCAGTGTCCCTCTAATTGGCTTCGAAGTCTCTCTACCTGAGTCATGTGACCGTCTGGAGCGACGCTACACATTCAAGATCTCCCAGAGTCACCTGACCCTGTACTTTAGTGCTGAGGGGGAGGAGCTACAGCGGCGTTGGATGGATGTCCTGTTGAGGGCTGGGAGGGGGGAGGAGCCTCAAGAGGTCCATCGACCAATTGTGGAGAGTCTGGAGGAGGAGGGGGAGGAACTAGCAGCCGAGATGGAGAGGGAGCAAACGTGATTCATTTGGATGAGGAACAATGGTGATGATGAAGGTGGGGTCTTTAAATGAAGATCTGTCCCTGCTGGGGACCAGTACAAAACCAGTACATACAGTCATTTCTAAAATATGTTTAACACACACTGAGGCCTCTGTGTATTTAAAGTTGTGTGTTTTGTTTGCACGATTCCTCCCTGATGTCAACACAAGATGGCGTCTCTATTCACCTTCTGTTGTGTTTCACCTTCAAGTAAAGTGGGCGGAGCCTCTGCTTGGCAGCTACAAATGTCTTCATTGTAAATTCTCACAGTAAACCTTCAACAGAGAACTCAGAACACAAACCACAGTATCTCTAAATACTACAGTACCCATGAGCCTCAGCTGTTGTTGCTATGGAGATGCCTCCTCCAGAACTGTGACATCACAGTTGTGTCTAATTGCCAAGATTTGATCCAAATCCCAAAATGACCTGATTTAATATTATGAATAAACTGCATGGCAACAACAGTTTGAGGCTCTCTGATTGGATGTTTTTTTTTATAATCTAATTAATCATAAAGCACATTTAATCTACTTATATATAGTCACAGTTATGGGCTCAGTCACCACACTTGTCTACTGATGGATCAGCAGAAGTGCTTCACCTGTCCTAATCCCTCAGTGTCCTAGAGTCGTGTTCACTGATCCAGTTTTCTGATGGTCAGATGTAATTCACTGAGTAACGCACACAAACTCAGTTATTGTGAGGTCCGTTTAGCCAATGTACATCTGGGCTGTGAAGAAACTTTTGTTTTCAAGGAGGAGAACAGCGTCCATGTCCTGAGCTGCAGAGTCCCCATCACAAGGATCTGTGCCTGACGAACACCAGACTGGAGGCCACTTACAATAAATAGGTTTAGCAAAAAGGGAGAACGAAAAAATTAAAGCTACAGTATGTAATTTTATTTAACTATGTTTGTTGTATAAATCGGCTCCAAAACATGTCCTAACATGGACAGGTGCTGTCAGAGCTGGTTCAGACTCAATGAACAGCACTGGCAGCAGTGCAGAGATATGAGCGGTACTTGAAGTCGGTCAGAACTCACCAGTACGCCATAATAGCACTTCTACATTTCATTATTTTGCATACTTTTTCTTGTGTACCAGCACTTCTCACAAGCTGCTGAAACTCTTTTCTGCCCTCCCTATCAACATGTTTAAAATGCACGCCGTCTCACCTGGGCAGCAGACAAGAGCAGATGATGGAAGCAGGGGACGATGACCAAAAGCTGCAGTCAGGACAGAGTTTAGGAGCTTTCTGCCAGCTACACTGTGGGAGCTGGGGGTGGGGGGTTAGCTCCTCCACAGAGACCTGAGCTCCCCCAGTAGCAAACTCAAATGTTTTATGGTTTATTTGCATGATTTAAGGTTCCAGTTTACTTTGAATGGAGGCAACATTTGTGCCTATAAATATGTGAAGAGCTGGGCAGAGCGTGGCGGAGCGGAGCAGGGAGAGGGAGCGCTGGGCAGAGCAGACTGGGGTGGTTTGGAGGTTCCTGCTATGCTACCTTAAGTTACATACTGTAGCTTTAAACTTAGAACATAATCTGAGGTTTTGCAGAATTGGTTCAGTGTTGTTGTCTGGTGATGGGACTGATCTGGACCCAACCTGACTCAGGTCCAGGGTCTTGCAAACAACCTCTGTTGTGTTGTTTTGTTCGTCTCTGAATGAAAACACAGCTAGAACAGATACATGAGAACATGTTGGAGCCCAAACCATCTCTGTCGGTTCATCCGGCGGAGGTGTCACCATCAGCCCAATGTGATGCTGCTGCCGCTGCCTCACCTTGGACATCGCCAATGAAAGACTGAACATTCTTCCCTGTTTTTACAAAGTAAAGCATAGCAGTGCTGTTCCCTGAGCTGAAGCACATCAGCAGTACGTCAACATAAACTGTCAGAGTGAAAAAACTCTGTGAGGCTTTTGAAGAAAAAACTGAAGAGCTGACAAGTCCTATTTAAATGTCCTTCATGGATGTTTCAACTTTTAATCCTAAGAAAAATCCCCAGTCTCCTTTTTGCCTTTGGTTTTTCTCAGTTAGAGGTAAACTATATTTCCCAGCAGCCTCTGCCCTGAGGTGTGGACTGGTTTTACCTGGCCCCAGTGCTGGTGAAGCAGGGAACTGCAGGTATTATAAGAACTGGTCTGACTGGTTCCTCCTGGCTGTCCTGAAGAAGCCTCATTTGGGCTAATTTTATCTCAATTATCAATGTTCACTCATTATTAGTTTATCCGTAAGTTATTAAACAATATATTGCTTGGTCAAAACGTCCACATTCAGTTTTGAGAGGTCACACAGTTTCTTTCCTTTTGGTTTTTCCCGTTTAGGGGTCGCCACAGCAAATGGTCACACTGACGACTCGCATGTTGACATTTGGCACGTTTTACACCAGATGCCCTTCCTGATGCAACCCTGACTTGAACCTGGGCCGCAGTGGCAAGAGCGTTGTGCCTTAACCACTAGCCTACCAGGGACGGCAGTTTCTTAGACTGATTTTTCAAAACCAGAATCATGAAGCAGAGGGAAGCTGGACATTCTATACAGGAATTATAAAGATAGTCATTAACTAATTTTCTGTTTGTTTTCTTTATGAATTTAAGGTTTATTCCTCTGCCTTATGACGCCCCCCACATCCCAGAGTTTCCTCCCACGTTACTGCAGATGATGATCATTTCTGCCAGAAAAAAAAAAACACGAGCAAAGGTTAGAAATGATACAAACAAAAAAATACTCAGTCAAGATATCCAGGTCAAGAGTCTGACTTTCTTTTGACTGAAATAATTAGAGATCATGGTAAATATGAACTTAGTTAAAAAGGTTCAACTCTCACAAAGGCCAAATCTTGACTTGTTTATGATTTGATTTTGAGCTCAAAATTTTTCTTCAAACTCAGACATGTGCTCAGTGGTGTATAATTGTCATGTAATACATCAGAAGGTTCCCCATAATGTCCATCATTTGGAGTGAAAGACTTTTGACATTTAGTTTCAGAACTTCAACTTTTCAACACAGGAGTTTGCATGTTCTCCCCGTGCTTGCGTGGGTTCTCTCCGGGTACTCCGGCTTCCTCCCACAGTCCAAAGACATGCAGCTTAGGTTGATTGGTGTCTCTAAATTGCCCATAGGAGTGTGTGTGTGTGCGTGTGTGTGGTTGTTCGTCTATGTGTTAGCCCTGCGATGGATTGGCGACCTGTCCAGGGTGTACCCCGCCTTCGCCCGATTGCCGGCTGGGATTGGCTCCAGCCCCCCCGTGACCCTGTTCAGGGACTAAGCGGTAGAAAAAAATGAATGAACTTTTCAACACTTAAAAACAAATTCACTTAGCATAAAAATCAAACTGAAATTATCTGTGGATTCACTGATTAGCTGACAAACGGAAAATTAATCAGAATGTAAATATCTTTGTTTTTTTACTGTTTTGGGGTTTGGGGCTGTTGGTCAGGAAAAAACAAAACATTTCACATCATCTTGGACATTTTTATAATGAAAATAGCCTAACGGTCAGTTGCAGCATTAACAACCTCAGGCGCCTGCAGGTCACTGGGGATCCCTGTCTCAGATGATGGTGGGCGGTGGTGGATCATTAGTTGGACACAAAAAGCCGTTTTTAAAGACAAACACGTGAAAACTCTCTGAGGGGAACCAAACACCAGACTGGATTGTAAACCCTGTTTCTGGTGAGTTCAGACTGAACTGGGTCTGATGGACTCACCGGTGTCAGTTTCCTGGATTTTGGAAATTAACCCAGCGATTAGACAGAGCCCATGTGATTTGAATTTAAAAGAAAAACTGAAGACTTTAATTGTTTTTATCATGTTTCCTTCCAGTGGTACAGTATTTATCTCTGTCTCTTTAACAGCTTTTGGACAAAGTGTTTTGATAGTTTAAAAAAAGCCAATATTATTCATATTATCATTATTCTAATGAATCTCTGATGCTACAAACTGAAAAGATGGATGTCTTGTTGGTTATTTCTGTTATGAGTCTGGGTTGTGTTTGATTTTTGCTTGATGCAATTTGATGCAAGAAGAAAACGATTAAGTTTTTGTAAATATAAGTTATTCTCCTGTGACCCTTGGTCATGTGACTGTGTAAAGGTCAATGGTTAACCCTTGCTGCTCCTCCACACTCTGCAAACCTCTACACAGCCAGAGCCCAACAGACAGTTTGGGGTTCAGCGGTGGCCTTGTTAGCTCCAGTTCAGATAAACAGATAACTATGATGACGGTTAAAGGAACAATTTGACATTTTAGTAAAACATGCTGTTCTCTGTTTTCTTCAGATATTTCAGATGAATGTGGGTTTCATTAGTGTGAACAGTACAGAGACGGGTCAAAGGTGTGTTTAGCCTAGCTTAGCACTAACACTGGGAGAAGGGGGAAACTGTTAGCCTTTTCAAAAACTCAGTTACACACTTCCACTAGGAATCAGCAGTTTTAAGTCATTATCACTGAGTAGTTATAAAACAAGGAGGAGACATTAGGTCTGATTTAATGATCCTTGTAAACCCAAGGTTTATTCAGTTTCCCTTGAAACACTCATTGCCCTCAGTTTGGTCTTGTAGGCAGAACTTTGCTGAAAAGATAAAATACTGTTGAATGTTTTACAGTTTTTCTTGTTTGATAGAACTAGACTAACTGTGAGCTACTGTCAATGCTAATATGGCAGTGATCCTGTTAATATCCACAAGTCACACTAGTACTACTTAGTGTACAGCCTTTAGCATTTAGCTGCCATGTTCTGTACTTTGAATGAGATGATGCAGTTTAAGGATAAGGATAATCACCTTTATTGGCCAAGTATGTTACACACAAGCAATTTGTTTCCGGTACAGAACCAAAGGCAGCTATCTGCGGCGCCACCTCAACTAATTGCTCTAACTGTCGGGGGCAATTGCAGCGTTCCGTGCGCAAGGACACTTTGACACGCGGACTGCTGGCACCGAGATTCAAACCTTCAACCTTCTGGTTGGAAGACGACTGCTCTACCCACCGCACCACTGTCGCCTCCCCAATGCTCTAAACTAAGACATTAAAGCACAATGCTAATATAATCTTTGGCTAAATGGTTAATGATTACTCCTTTCTGTTGTAAGCTAGCAGTATTTAGTCTGTTTTTAATGGAACGCTAAAAGTGTAACACAACATGGCAGTGATTGGTTAACATAACATGAAATCCTTAACAGTCTGCTGGAAAGTGAATTTTTTCCTTGTGTTTGAGCTAGGCTAACAATCTGCCCCTGCTTCCAGTCTTTGTGCTAAGATAGAGTAACCATCTGAAACATGTGACTCTGGATCACAAAATGTTTTGAAAACTGGATTTGTGAAAATGTTGAGCTCTTTCTTTAGCTTTTGCCTCCGTCACTACCTGGTGCTCAGTCTGTGTGTGGCTCTGGTTGTCACACTATGTTTTTAGTGCGTCTTTGGCGTTTAAAGCTCACTCCAGTGGTGTGTTGTCCTTTTCTCCCTCAGTGGAAGGAAATGGCCAGTAACTCAGCCTTATTGTTCCCATCACCATCAGTTGTTTTGATGTGTTGAAAAATGTTGAGTGGTTTCTTTTTCAGCCTTTGGTGCTAATTTAGCTTCCTTTGTATGAGTTTACCTTTATTTTCTGTTACCAGAGATCTTTGCAGACTGGTCCTGACTGGTCCTGGCTGGCTCTGACCAGTGTGTGTATGATACAGTTGAACAGTGATGTGTTGTATTAGTCCAGTGTGCACTTTCATGTCATGTACCAAAGCACGTATTGAAACTGTTCAGTATTCAGTATACAGAGCTATGAAGTTGTTGGCTAATATATCAAATCTGCATTATGTATTTAAGTATTTCTTGTTGTTTGGTCTGGATACCACATGTTTGTTCGTAACCAGTTACAGTCTGTTACTCTAGTTTGAGCTGGTTATAACTGGAGATGAATGCAACTACATGACAACGTGACTGAAATGCATTTAGCTTTGAAATTTGTGGTTGTGTGATTTTTCAAAAGAACAACTTAAGCATTTACTCAAATGTTTTAATTGCCTCTACCTTAGAAATGACCACAAAAAATTAATGCGTAATGTAAACAAAGTGTTTATTTTTTTTATTGCACACGTTTTGCATGAATTTGCTTTGTCTTTGTGAGCGAATCCACAGATTGCATGCTCTAAACCAATGATTTCACTCCAAACTATTGCCATTTTAAGTTCTAGAGTGTGATCATGTTGAAAATCAGATTTTAAAAAATCCTAAATCTGCTCTAGAACCACACTTGTTTATTTTCCTAATAAAAATGTGTGATAATGTGCAGCTATGACACGTCATGTAGTTGGTTGCATACTGTCAGTGAAGTAAGCTGATTTGCACATGTCTAGTTATAACCAGTCATCACCAGGATAAACAGACAGTTGGACCAGTTAGAGTCTTACTAGTCAGCTGTCACAAAATCAGTCAGTATGAAACCACTGGCAACTAGATACCACTGCAGGCAATTTAAACTGGTTCTATATGGTTAGAGCTGGTTCTGTCACAGTGGACTGTTGATCTTCTGGTCTACAGAGGACTCAGATGTTTTGCCTTACAGTTTCTGCATTTTATTGAACTTCTGCTTGTGCCAAATGAAATGAACGAGTCACTCTCAGTGTTTCACTGTCCAGATTTGGTATTTATTTGTCTGGTTAAATCCAAAGTGTTGTTATGGGTTATGTTTCTTTCCATGTCTTTTAAACTTTCTTTCTGGTTTAATCCTGGTGTGGGTGTAGTTCTTGATCAAACATCCTTCACCTTTTCAAACCATGTCAGTCTCTGATTCCTCTGGCGGTCACGTTAATGCCTGCTGTTACTCAAGGATGGATTACTGAATGGGCAAACTGGGCACAGGAGAAGGGCCTGACAGGACAGGGCCCCTGGACCAGAGCCACTGTCTGAACTGACTGATATTTCTTGTGTGATTGTCGCAGAGCTTGGTGAAAGACAAAACGACAGCAGACAGAAATAAAACCACCACAGGGACTCAAAATAACCACAAAAAGATGCACCATTTGTCATTGTTTTGTGTCTTTGTAGTTGTTCTTTCAACCTGGGGTTCTTGTGTCGGTGGGGGCCTATCACCTGTCTGTGCCCCAGGGCACATTTTCTCATAATCTGACAATGCTATTACAATGGAGACAGTCAGGATTTTCAGCTCTGCTTCTGTTCGAACAGGTGTCTTCTGTTGATGCAGAAGCTTGCATGAAGTAAATTAACAAGAGTATTTGGGCATGTAGACTAAATATTTCCAAATGTGGACAAACACATTTCTAGTACAGGAGCTGTTAAGGATCCTATCAAAGGAGGACTAGACGGGATGTCATGTAGTTGCATGATAGGCCTCTCTTTTTTTTTTCAGTCTTCTGAGCTGTTCCTATAGTAACTGCTGGGTTACTGGAGTAGAATGTTGCCATGGTAACTGACTTCACAGTACTGTGGGGGTCTGTTATCATAGCAACCACTGGGCTCTAGTTCCCATGACAACAGCATCCACCACCATCTCTGTCTCTCCGGGTGTAATAACAGCATGGTTTGTCTTCTTCCTATTATAGTTCTGGTATCTTGTTGTTATTGATAAAAGGTTATTGATTGCAGGTTATTGGTTAGTGGCTGGCCACTGCTTTCCATGCTGTCCATGTCTGTTTCCCATCATGCCCTTCTGTCAGAAGATAAACTGAGAAATGCTTAGAGGTTCAAAATGAAATAAAAATATAAAAACTGACTACGACTCATCCATCCAGTGATGATACAAGAAAAGACTCAATACATGTTATGATTTAGTCCGTTGGACTCAAGACTGCTGACCCAGGTCCTAGTAAAAATGGTGGGGATACAAAAGGAATAGTCAATGAATACATACAACAGGGCTCAGCAAAGATGGCTGAGGAGAACAGGATGACCAAGGGAGTAGACAGGGTAAGGGCAGGAACCAGGAGAGGAGGAGGATCAGAACGGACAAGGGAACAGACAAGCCAACCAGGAGGGTAGGCGAAGGAAAACGGAAATCCACAGCACAGGAACTGTCAGTGTGGAAAACAAAATGATGTATAATGCATACCATGACATTATGTCTGTTACG